CAATTCGACAATTCTAAAAATTTCGACATGTCGAAATTAATTTCGTACAGTTTGTACATTTCGTCAATTTCATCAATTCGACATATCAAAATTATTTCGACAATTCTGACTATTTCGACATTTCAATAATTTCTACATGTTGAAATTATTTCGGCATTTCGGCATTTCGACAGATTTTAATTTCGACATTTTGGCTTTAACCTTTACCATTTCAGCTGGTAACTTTATTTGCACTATAAGAGACCTGTTTAATTTTTTCTAATCCTAATGTATTGAATAATTTATATAATTTTCTAGCTTTAAGGATTTTTTGACATAAATTCACATCTGTTATATCAGGTAAAAGCTGTTTGATTTCTTGATATACCATAGATGTTGCAGTTTTTTTTTAACTCCACTGGCAACAAGGTTGTTAATCCTTTCATCATATTTTTCTATAAAGTAGTACCAGTATAAAATTGCTTCTTGGCCAAGCTTATTAGCTTTCCTGAACATGCAAACTATATTTTGTGCAGTATTTGAAGATGGATCCTGTCCTTCTAAAGTTTGATCCAACATAGTTGTATGTGCAGGTGACGATAACTGTTGCTTCAAATATGCTTTTATGTCATACAGGAATTGCATCATTACACGTGACTTTTAACAAGAAAGAAATACAATATATCAAATAAAAAATGTTGCTAAAGCACAACTGATATATAAAAAATGCGAATACAAAGCTGTTTCAACACGGGAGATGTAAACTAATCTTGATATTTACCAATTAGCTATCAGTCATTATGATATTTTTTATTCAAGGATCATTATCCTCTGTTTTTACCAAACTGATTTTAAGATTTACATATAAAGGGATGCTGCAGAAATAAATATTTTTTTTATTAAGGAATCATATGTCGATTATGTCGATTTAAATTCTTTAATTTAGGCATATCAGTGGATTTGCGTAATCACATGTTAGCCGAATATAGTAAATTAATTAGAGAACGGGTTTTCCCTTTCTATAATAAATTTATTATAGTCAAATGACGCATGATTATGCAAATCCACCGATTTATTATAAATATTAAACTTATTCTTATTGCGAAGTAAAAATATTTTTTTTTTCATATTTAAAAAGAAGTCATGAAAAAAATATAGAATGTGGGGACCAAACATATGGAGAAAAATTTTCCTATGTGGCCATTAGCCTGGATGGTTCAATAGTAGCAATGTTTAATCCATGTGAGTTATAGTTATATATTATTGGATGATTAAACTAAATAATAGTCTAATAGTGGCACGTAGTGCCACATTAGACTATTATATAGTTTAAATCATCCAATAATAATATTATCAGTTTGACAGGACCATTCATGCAATTTTTATAATAAACTCCCATTACTATCCAATAATTTTATTATTATGCCAATACATAGTAATATGAGATAACTGACCTAAATAACAATTACGTAAAATCTGCATGAACTTATAAGGATAACTGATAATAATATATATATATGTATATATTATCATGTATTAATTTACTAATAATGAAATAATGCGTTTACTGATTAAAAAGATGATATATATATGTTGTGCCTCAGATCGATTCTTGCCTCAGCTGACAGCTGACGCAAGAATCAATCTGAGGCACAACATATATATCCAATTAATCTATTAAAAAAAATGAGAATTAAGTTCCTCAAAATTTATTTTTTAGACGGTTCTTCTATATTAATCACAAAAGTGGTAACAAGTAAAGCGGCAACAAGTGAACAGGCAAAAATAAGTTTCAATAATATAAAAAAATTTTTTGATATAATGCCATCCAACATTCTTGGATGGTTTTTAACTGTTTCAGATTCTGAAAATAATATTGGCTTGATTACAATTTCTTGTATAACTGATGAAGACATAAATCCAAAACTAAAAATTCGGCATAGAAAACTAAATCGATATGCAGTAAAATTACTTGTCTATTATATTTCTATCAATATTTTTTAATTCTCAATTTTTTGTTTATTCCTTTTCCCTTATTTATTATCTTTTTTTGTATTTCCTTGTATTATTGTTTCTATAATCTCAGATACATTGTTAACAATATTAAACTACTGACTTGGAATTCTAGTAAAGGAATGATGAAGCTTTTCAAATTTTCATTTGATAATAATAATAGTATGGTGTGCACAGTCTAAAGCCACCACTTTTTTATTTTTTGGCCAAATTTATATAAAATCACGTGAGCAAATTTCATTGGTCAATATTTACTTATCATATATATATATAGGTGGGTTTGTAGAATAGAATACCAATTGTTTAGCCAGAATTAATAATAATTCTGGCTAAAATGATTTATAAATTCATATTATAGTGCAGAACCTCTATACTCAACTACTTATGTATAATAACAATTGATTGATTATAAATTCCTAAAAAAATTTTTTTTATATTTAATTAAAAAATTTAACCGATAATTTTTATAGCTTTAAAAATTATTGGTTATTTTTTTTCTAAATTAAATTTTGGCTGAGTTTTAGCTGTTTAAAAATCTGTAATTTAAATATATTGATTAAATTGAGACTAGGGATGGCAACGGTCGGTCATGGTCGGTCATCAGTCGGTCATAACCGGTCAAGAACCTTTGACCGACTGACTGACCGTTTGACCGACCGGTCTGACCAACCAGTTAACCGACCATTTGACCGACTGGTTAACCAATCCTGAAAACATTTGCAAAACGTAATTTAATTGAAATACTTAATAAAAAATGTTTTCACAACGTTTTCTATTAAAATAATTAAAAAAATGTTTGCGAAACATTTTTTTTATTAAATTACATTTCACAAACGTTTTCAGGATCGGTTAAACAGTTGGTCAAACGGTCAGTTAACCGGTCGGTCTGACCGGTCGGTCAAACGGTCGGTCAGAGGTCTTTGACCGACCGATATCGGTCACGGTCATGACCAGTCATAACCGGTTAATGACTGTGATTATTGCCATCCCTAATTGAGACTAGTTTAAATTTTTGTATTACAGGTTTTTTTAGCCATATTTAATGTACAGATTTTTTTTTTAATATGCTAAGAAGAAAAAAAATTTTAAAACTGCAAAAAAAGATTTAATAAATAAGGTTGTTTAAATATAGGTTAATTTAGTGTTATAGATGATAATTATATACCATCAAGTGAATATTTAAAAGACAGTTCAGATGAATTTATAAATGAAAAAATTCAAAAACTAAGTAATTTTACTTTAATTTGGTCAAAAAATACATATAATAAAATACAAATCTCATCATCATATACCTGATTTATCAGTTTATAATGAAATACAATAAATAAATATATTATATAAATTTTAATATCTAAAATCCTAATTTCTGATTGGTTAATATATGTATCACGTGATGCTTACATAATCTGAAAAATTGAGACTTTTTTTTTTATTTTATAAATCAATTCCTTTTAATAAATAGAGTTTAATTTTTTTATAAAATTAAAATCCAATCATAAAATCAAATTTTATTCAATTTTTTTTAAGTTCCTATTATAGAGGTTCTGCACCATATCAGAAAGAATCTGTTATTTTATTATATTTAAAATTATGATACCTATTAAATTTTTTCTATATTCATTAAGAATAATAAACATATATTTAATTTGTTTTTTTTTAAAAAAATAAAGTTTAAAGATAAATAATTCTCATTCAGTTATTTAAACAAAAATATTTTTATATTAATTCTTAATTTAGGCCAGTTTATAAATTTTGGCCTGCATCATATTAATATTAAACTGGCCAAATTCCTTCAAATTTATTCAAAACATAGTAAAATAACCAAAATTAAAACTTATATATCTTATGCTACAGTAATTCAATTTGAAAAAACTCTCTGTTACATAAAAGTATACTGTTTAAACTACAATATTACAGAAAGTTTTTTTAAAAAATATTGATTAAATTTTTTATTCTATTCATTTGAAATCACATAATAAAAAGTGGTGGCTTTAAACTGTGTGCACCATACTAATACGAATAATGATAGTGATACTTCAATATACAAATAATGTCTTGGCGAGGTTGTTAGTTTTTTAAAAAATACTAAAAACTCTTCAAATTGTGCAACGCTCGTCTGCACGAATTGTATAAAAATACAAAAGATAGGGATTAAATTAAATGAATTAAATGTACATGATGAAAGTGGTTATATATTACCTGAAAATTTATATAAAGAATTGGAAAGCTTTGAGGATTCAAGACGCAATTGGAAATATCTTTTGAAATCTAGATTTAGAGAATTTTTAATGGTTGACATAAGCGATTACAAGCATATACAATGTATTGAAATATACAATATTAATACTTCACAATTAGTAAATGTTTTTTACAGACATTGTAGAGAAAAGGATTTTATAATTTCAAGAAACAATGAACCCGGAATTTTTGCAATATCAACTGATTCAAGATTATTTGCTTATTCTTATGGAGACAACATTATTACAACTTATTTAATGGAACGTGAACTTGAGGTTGTTTCAAAAAAATTTGACAACATTTATAAAATTAAATTTTTAGAATTTATCGAAAAAGATAAAAAATTATTCATTATTGAAGAAGATAAAGAACATGATGAGAAATTTCATACTTGGATTATATCAGGATGTTTAAATGATTATCTTTCTATTTCTAAAGATGATATTGGTTTATCAGATGAGCATTATAATACTTTGACAAAGGCAAATGAAAAAGTAATTTTTTATAATAAAGTTGATGAGAAACAGTTTAGGATTGTATCTATAAAAGGGACAACTTTTGGAGAAAGTGACCCCGTGACTGATGAGCATGAATATCAATCATGTGATCTAGAACCATGGAATATTAATGCAAAGACTATTCACGGTAGATTTCTTAATAATGACAGAAGGTTTCTTCTATTAATCGGTCAAAATAGTATTAAATTATGGAAATCTAAATCCATAAATTTTATGAATTTTGATAATTTTAAAAATTTCAAAAATTCGAATCTTGTCTATATTTTAATAAGTGATAAAATCAAACCAGAAATTAAAACTAAATTCCTAATTGAAGATGATATGACTACTGTAATAATTCATGCATGCAAATCACTTGTTTATCTCTATAATCGTAAGCATGTAAGAAGTATCAAAAAACATCAAAAGTTTGTTAGTGGAATAACAAATATTATTAAAGATTTTATCAGAAAATATCCTGACAATTGAAAACTTATGGAGATTCAATATCCTTTAATGTCATATCTAATTTATTCCCGTTCATTTTCTTTAATTAAATATGTTCTGTTTGAAAATACTGAAAAGTTACACAGACCACAAAGTAAATATGATTCTTATCCTTATTACAGTTACTTGAAATTATATGAGTATTTTAAATTGAATGATGAAGATTTGAAATCAGTTAATGATTTAGAATTAGCTTTAGAATTCTGTGAAGGTTTGCATTTTAATTTCTTACTACTCATTTTATTACTACTTGTTTTATTGTTATAGTATATAGTAATTTATGGGCTTTATTTAAACGATTTTATTTATAGATCAAGATACTGTTATATTAGCATATTTATTAGAATATTATATTGAAAATTCTATGACTCATATTGGTTGGATGATTAATGTTACAAAAATTCTTCCGAAATTACCCGGTCCCTATGAAAAAAAATCATCCAATTTTTGTACAATATTTGTTCAAGTCCGTGTGGAAATTGTTCAATTATTGCAGATTTTTGGATAAAAATAGCTATGAAGTATTTCAAAGCATATTAAAAGTATGCAATTTTTGTACAACTTAAATTTAAAATATAGAAAATGTTAAATTTTTATGTGATATTTATACAACTTAAATTTAGGATACAGAAAACATTCAATTTTTGTACAATAAAAATTGTGATTATTGTACAACTTGAAAATAGACTTAAATTTAGGATATGGAAAGCAATTTTTGGGTAATCCTACTATACTACTTTCCATCTTACCTGTATGGTTACATTTGACCACTTTTAGGGTCAAATAGACCACTTTTAACCATTACAAATAGATTTTCCTAAGTAAAGTGATTTATGCAGTAAGGTTACACAAAATTCAACTGCATATTTGCTTATAAACGGGTATCTTCCGTACCCATTGGTGAAATTTTTGTATCATCTTGTAACTAAAAAGAAGTCAAAAACTTTTTATTAGGTTACACAATTAGTTCTGACTGGAATTATAATTTGGCCAGAATTATGCGGTAAAAATCAACTCTTAAAATAATATATTTTGATCACGTGGTCTGATCGTCAAAATAAATATGACAACGTGAAATGTTTTTGTTTATGTTTTTTTAACCTTTTAACTTTTATTCAACTTTCTTTTAAAATATCAGGTAAGAAAAACTTGTGTTCTTTATCTTTTTATTTTCCTAACTTTTTACATTTTAATGTTACTAACTTGCTTTCTTCACTAACTTCATACTTTTTTATTTAATACTAATAATTTACTTACACTAATAATTTACTTTCTTCTTTGGTACTACTAATTTACTTTCATGTTACTAACATACTTTATTTTATTTTATTTTCTTACAAATTTTTATATTTATGATTATATCAAATTTAGTATTTTATTTATGAAATATTGTGTATATTTTTTATATTTTAAGTCAATAAAAATTCATAATTTCACTTTATAAATTGCCTGTTATTACTGTAAAATTTAACCTATAATTTTTAAAATATGGCCTAAAATTTGGCTCAAAAATCACACAATAATTGTATAAATTCAGCTCAAAAATAGGATAATTATTGAATGAATTACCATGCAATAATTGTGTGATTTATTGCAATTTTTAGCACAATTATTGTATGGTCAAATATACAGAAATCGTAGTGAATTTAATTGAATGATTTTTCGACAAAAATCACACAGACTTTTTTCATAGGGGGTATATTTATTAAATAATAATTTTTGTTGCTTTTTGTTTATCAATTACATTTTCCTTTACTAAATTGTTTTTATTTTATATAGCTAATTACACGGAGTTATTATATTATAAACCTTGTTTTGGAGGAATAAGTTACAATTTTCCAAATAAAAGATTTAAAGAGTTGTCAGTCAGTGAATATAATTTAAAAGTATATATACCACTTACTCGGCTCAAAACAACAGAATCTTTAACCTTTTCAGAATACAAGAAAATAGGGTAAATATTATTTAAATATCTCAATTTATTAAATCTATCACTGACACATTTTTTAAAAAAATATAGAGATGAGGAATTACATAATATTTATATGGTTCCGTTTCCAAATTTTACAACTTACAACACAAAAAACTTCTCTAAATGTTATGTTAGTTTTTTTTTTGAAAAATTTTTCCTTACTTTGATTGTCTTATTCAATTATATCCTCAGATTGTAGCATCAATAATTAATAATTTTCTACCCGCTCGTACTTGTTTGTGAATTATTAATCGTATATTATATCATGCTGTAATACTTTACTATATATAAACTTTTTTTGATTCACCCATATCACGTTCTATGTTTTACGAAGAAAAAAAATCCTAATTAAAAATGAAACCACTGATAAGAAACGGTTACTTTGTTAGTCTATTTGGTTTTATTGTGATTGCACAAGAAATTGTTTCTGGAATCATGCGTTAAATCTTTTAAGAAAAATAATTCCGAATGCCATTTTAATAAATACCTAGGTAGATATCACGTTCAATAATTTGGCTGTATAATGCTAATAACCACAAAATAAATGTCTGGATAATGACGTAACAAACTGAATGTAATAAAATTCGATAGATAAATATTGGTTAAAACAACAAATATAAAAATAATTTAAGAATTAATTTTTTATTATTATTTAATGAAAATAATTTGAAATTTATGATACTTTGAGGCTAAGACTATAGTCGATACTGAGACAATTTTGAAGGGAATAATAGAAACCTATAAAAAATCTCTGAAAAAAATATATTCTTATGATTTATCGCAGGCGCAGTAAATTATAAATCAAAAAAGTGTAAGCCTAGAATAATTTGATTAATTCATGCCATCCTCCTAACGTATTCTGGTTTCAGGTTTTCCTTAGTATTTAATTCATTTTTGTTATTTAGTAGTATGCCTTCAATAGTACTGATCTATTTATTCCAATATCTACTGTTGTAGCTTTACCCGTTAATGTTTAGTAATACTTCTGAATTTTTACCTCACGGTATTCTTAGTTGTTCATCATTAGTTAATTACATTTACGTTGTTAGTTGAAACTTTACCACTATTTAAATGAAATTGACGAAGAGAGATTTCACCCAATCGATTATTTCCAGAAAACTGTTATGAGAAATTAATTGAATAATCATTATGAGGAATTAATAGATTATTTCCAGAATAATTATAGTGTTAATAGCGATGTATTCGCATTTCAGATTGCTAACATCTCTAATAATATTATAGGTCATAACGTCATATTGTGAATAATATTCTGATTTCTACTTACTGTGCAGATTGAATTATTCGTTCTCATTTTCAAATAAGTTTGTTAATATTTTTGTCTTAAAAAGATCATTTGAATGAAATCAGTCACGTGGCGGTAAAATTATAAGATAGTTATGGCAATTATTTATTTGTACTTTAAAATAAAATAAAATTATACACACTATTTAAGTTTAAATTCATTATTATCGATTTGAGATATGAATGGCAATTAAATTAAATGCAATGATTTATTTATCGATTTTAAATTTTCATATCGGGAATTTCAATGAAAGTCGATTTTTTATGCAAACCCTGGAAGACGGGATCGCCACGAAATTTTGCATCACATGTATGGAAAAAACGTGCCACCGGGTCTATCATTAAGGTCCAGTGATTTGCCAAAATTATAGAGCTAGGCTTAATAAAAGATATTATTGTGATACCATGAAAATTTTGTTCGACAAGTTCGACAATAAGCAGATTTAGTATTCCTCAGCAAAATTTTTTGATATGCTTTTTCTTTTTTTTTCATTTTCATTAAGGATATTATTCTCTTTTGGATTTTATATGTATTATTGTGACATCTTTTCTGTTTTCAAATATAAATTTCAAATCTTTTAACGTATGTGGTATATACAATACCTCTTCGTTTTGCAAAATTTGTAAGATTTGTAAATTTTTTATAATGTAACTAATTTAACTAAACATATTTCTTTTAATAATTAAAGTCTAATTTTTGATATCATGGAATAATAAAATTTTACTTTAGAATCGGAACATGATCGGCCTATCGGCCGATCATTTATCCGATCAAGCCTAAAATTATAAAAATGATTAATAATTGAAAAATTATATAAATTTGATTAGGATTATAAGCACACGACATAAATAACTAAGGTTTATTTGTAAAAGAAATTTAATAAACTCGAAGAAAAAAAAATAATAAATTTTAAAATTAATTTCTTATTTATTTTCATCTGGATAAAAGTGATATTACGAAAATAAAATTCGTTATTTAAGCTATATGGATCGCTATGTACATTAAAATTAATTTTAAGATGAAAACTGATTTTACATTTTTGGCTGCAAAGATCAGGGATGTTGCATCTTCAAACGCAAACAAATATTTTTGGTGTTACTTAAATGTTAATAATTTTTAACTAAATTAATTTTTGTAAACAGTAGAATTTGGATCTACATATGCAATTTGCGATTCTAAGATTACTTTTATATACATTAGACGTATCAAAATAAAAATATTTTTTTTTTCATATTTTGATATAAGAAAAAGAAATCATGACAAGAGATATAGAATGTGGTGACCAAACATATGGAGAAAAAATTTCCTATGTGGCCATTAGCCCGGATGGTTCGATGGTAGCAACGTTTAATCCATGTGAGTTATTAATATTTATCCAATTTTTTCTATTTAAAAAAAAAAAAAAAAAAAAAAAAAAAAAAAAAAAAAAAAAAAAAAAAAGGACCAAATTCCTCTAAACTTATTTTTCAGATAGCTCTTCTATATTGATCACGAAAGTAGTGACAAGTGAAACAGTGACAAAAATACAATTCGATAGAAAAAAATTTTTTGATAAGGTTTCACCCAATATTCTTGGATGGTCTTTAGCAGTTTCGGATATCATTGACGCTGAAAATAATATTGGCTTGATTGCAATTTCTTGTATGACTGATGAAGACATGAATCCAAAACTTAAAATTCTGCTTAGAAAACTAAATCGACGTATAAAAAAATTATTTTTCTATTCTCTTGCTATCAGTCTCCTTTTAGTTCTCACTTTTTGGTTTCTTCCTTTACCCTTGGGTGTTCTCTTTTGCTGCGTTTCCGCGTATTATTGTTTCTGTTATGTCAGATATGTTACTGATATTCGACAACTAACTTGGAATTCTAGCAAAGGAATGATAAAGCTTTTCAAATTTTCATTTAACAATATCAACAATAATGCTGCTAATAATGTTATGACTAATAGTTATATTGCTTCAATATATAAGTATTGTCTTGGTGGAGTTGTTAGCTTTTTAAAAAATTCTAATAATTCTTCAAATTATGCAACACTTGTCTGCATGAATTGTATAAAAATTCAAACCATAGATATTAAATTAAATAAATTAAATATAAATATTATTACACGTGAAGAAAGTGACTGTATATTACCCGGGAATTTATATAAAGAATTAGAAAGCATCAATGATGCAAAACATAATTGGATATATCTTTTAAAATCTAGTAGATACCAAGAATTTTTAATGGTTGTAACAAATGAATATCAACAAACACAAAATATTGAAATATATAATGTTAATACTTCACAGTTAGTGAATGTTTACCACAGACTTTATGGTGATGAAGACTTTTTAGTTTCAAATAATAGTAAACCTGGAATTTTTGCAATATCAACTGATTCAAGATTATTTGCTTATTCTTATGGAAATAATATTATTACAATTTATTTAATGGAAAGTGGCCTTGAAGTCGTTTCAAAAAAATTTAACAATATCCATAAAATTAAATTTTTAGAATTTATTGTTAAAGATAGAAAACTATTCATTATTGAAGAAGATAAAGAAAATGATGTGAAATTTCATATTTGGCTTATATCAGGATGTCTAAATGATTATTTTCCTATTTCTAGAGATGATCTTAATTTATCAGATAATGATATTTCTACTTTATTAAAATATGATGGTTACTATCATATTTTAACAAAAGCAAATGGAAAAATAGTTACTCTTAAGAAAGATAATGAGGATCAATTTAGAGTACTATCGGACATATTTACAAAGTCGGTCATCTTTAAAGAAAATGACAGTGTGATTGATGAATTTAAATATGATTATTCACATGATAATTTAGAACCATGGAATAATAGTGCAGGATCTATTCAATCTATTCGTGGTAAATTTCTTAACAATGATAAGAGTTTACTTTATTTAATCGGCTGGAAATCTAAGTCACAAACTTTTAAAGACTTTGAGGATTTTAAGAGTTTTGAAAATTCGAATCTTGTTTATATTTTAATAAGCGACAGCATCAAACCACTCAATAAAATTTGGCCCAATTTATTATTGGTTGAGAAAAATATTACTACCTCCCAGTTACATGAATTTAAATGATAAAGATTTTAGTCCATTTCTTCGAATTAATAAGAAAAATAAAAGTGCATTTTTTAATGTTTCAGTGGTGGAAGCAGTTATTACTTCAAGATGGGAACAAACAAAAAATTATTGGATGATACCTTTATTAGTATATAGTACATTTTTGGCTTTATTTGCATATCTTCCTCCATTTTTCTTAGATGGTAATTATGAATTAGGTGGTGGCATTGACATTATAAATATGATTAATATGGGAATATTTTATTATGCTGGGTTATATTTATTAATTGCTGAATTTATGCAAATGAAGAAGTATAAGACCGAGTATTTTATATTATTTAACATATTTGATTTGTGCAGTATCTTGTTAGGTATTATTGTTTTTACTTTAACAATTGTAAAGTCATTTGATGAAACTAATAGAATCAATGGTGAAGGGATTGTTATTTTAACGACAGTAACTACTCTAATACTTTGGATTGAAATGGTATGATTTACAGTATATTCTTTAAGTTGCTTTAATTACAATAGTTCATATATTAATTTGATATTATTTTTTAAGCTTTTTTGGCTACATTTATTTTCAAAAATAGCAATATACATATATATATTCGGTAATATTTTGAGAAAGATTATACCGTTTTTTGCATTTATGTTTATTTTAACAATTGGAGTTGGACATTCAATGTAATTTTGTTTCTCTGTTTGTATTATTATATCTAACTTATTAGAAGAATTAACTCTTTTTACGTACAATTATAAATAGGCTTATATTTTTTGGATATCCATCACTTCTTAATTTAAATCCAACGGCTTCAAATTTCACATTGAATAATGAGACTGGAAATTTTACTTTTACGGGAGAAAGTCCAAATAATCCTTTTGATACAATATGGGATGCGATACTTTCTGCATACTATTGGAATGCAATTTATTTGAGTCCTTACAATTATTGGCCATTAAAATTATTTTCTTCCCTATAAAAAATAAATATCCGGAAAATGTCTACGAAAATGTCTGGAAATTGTCCAGATTAAATCTGGCATGTCCAGAAATTGTCCGGAAAATGTCTATTTTTTGCTACAAATTTGATACCTAAAATTTTGACATATCCAGACTTTATCCAGAATATATCCAGAATTTGTTCAGTATAAAATTTTGGACAAATTCTGGACAGATAAACCTGGACAAATTCTGGACATAGTAAAAATTTAGATAATTTGAACTGGACAAATTCTCCAAAAAAAAATAAATTAATTTTGTAAAAAAATGCAAAAAGCACAAGACTGACATTCATAACCTTCTTTGTCATACTAATTAAATTTGCTGAGCAGGCAAAAATACTATGATATATAACTTTAGGTTAAAAGCAATTATAATGATGGTCACCTGTTAATCATCTTTTTGTGCCAAATTTTATGAAAAAATATTTTGGGTCAATTTCTGGACAAATTCTGGACAAAATGAGTATCCGGAAACAAGTGTGTTTTCGGAATAATTTCCAGACATAGCACCTGGCATTTTCTGGACATTTTCTGGACAATTATTTAGACAAATTTTCTGGACAATTTCTGGACACTTATTTTTTGCTTGTTTTGCAAATATTATTTTGGTTCTTGTTTTATTAAACATGATAATTGCATTGATGAAGTAAGTGGTATGATTTATTTTCATTAACATGATATTTATTCATATTTTAATCTTTTGAATTTTACTTAGTGATATATTTAATAATAAAGCTAAAGAAGATGGTAAACTTGGATTATTAATGTACAGAGTAGAACTTATTAATGATTATGAAAGATTAATGATCCTTTCTTTAGTGCATCGTTAAATAATAAATCACCATATATTTGTTTTTATCAGAATCCTGATTTAATAAAAAAAATGGATTACAAAATCTCAGGAACTTAAAGATATAAAATTATATTCATGGTATAATGAGAATGTTGATAAGAAAGAGATAACTTTGATAATGAAAATGATACTATTAATCTTTGATATGCATTAATAACTGGTGATAAAAACCAAAATTCAGCTTCTACTAGCTTATCAATACCTGATCATATGACACTCTGGTTCTAGTTTTTTTATTATTTTTACTTTAGTTATTTACATTATATTTATTATTATATTTATTTTGATGTATTTATTATTATTATTATTATTTTTTTGATAGTATTAAGCATATTCACTTATTGAATATTATGAAATCATGTATTTTTGTAAGCTAATTGAATAATATATGTATCATATGTCATTTAATAAAAAAGATTTTCTTCATTGATCTTTTCATTATTAAATATAAATAAATTATTAAATTTTTGTTTTTATATAATTACAATTATAATTAATTTATAAACTTTTAAGTATATTGATAATATTTAGAATACACATAATAAATAATGATTAGAAATAAAAAAAAATTCAGATAATTAAATCCATTTAAATATTTTATTTGTGTTCATATGATTGTTTTATAAAAAGAAATTTGGAAGAGTTTTGATGATATGTTTAGGCATAGAAAAGATGTTAGACAAAAGATGATCTAGATTGATCCTTACCATATTTCATTTTCCAAGGACCATCTTTCCAAACTGCTTTAAAAGTAGTTCCAAATATTCATTTTGCTAAATATTCAACATTTTCAAATTTATAATATTACTCTATAATTTGTTTCACATTTTTAGCTTTTAATTGTGCTTTTTGAATAAATTGATTAACGTCATGTTCCAATTTCAAGTTATTGCCTCACATTGAAGAGTTTAGAATGCCCTGTCAGGGACTAAGGCAACTTGTTTCCTTAAAAAGAACTGAAAAACCTAAAATATTATTTAAATTTGATAAATTTGTAATTTAAGAGATTTTATAATTCCCATACAAAATTAAATTGTTTATTAAAGAGAAATAAAGATGGATTCATTACTAAAAAAATTTGTAAAAAATTAAATTGTTTATTAAAGAGAAATAAAGATAGATTCATTCCTAAAAAAAATTCGTAAATTGTAAAGTTAAATTAAATGTTGTTACATTTATAGGAAAGAAAATATCCTTGGTGAATATAACCCAAAATACGTCAGATTTTATTATCGAATAATTATATTTTTTTCCATTGGATGAAACATTGCAAATTTTATTTTGATGGTAATTTATTTTGAAGCAAGATTTCCAGTATTGCATTAAATATGGTTAGAAAAACAAGTAAAAACAGGTGGACTATTAAATTATGTGTCATTTGTGTAAAAAAGAGAACTTAGGAAACTTCAATGACTTTTCTGATAAATTTTGAAATTTTTTGAAAAAAATCTTAAAGGAATCTTTACAGATTTTTTATTGTTAAGGTATTTTTACCAAAAAATATTATTGAAATAAAAATAAATTATTATTACCTTTGAATTAAAAAGTGTAAGAAAATATAGTAGCAATATTAAATTAAATATCAAGTTTACATAATTACATAAAGATCATCTTTCAAAGATGAAGCAACTCAACACAACCATGTATTGTGCTAGAATTACTCATTGTCTAATGAATTTGAACATAACAGAGGAGAGGATAATCCCACCAAGAACTCTGTATTCACAGTAAACCTACACTTACCAATCTAATGAGATCATATCTGAATTTGTTATTGAACTCCAACAAATTTCTTGAAGGAATCTAATAAGAATAATAAAAAAAAATATATGAGATCCTAGGCAATATTATTAACAACATCAGGATATTAGAGATCCAAAACATTGCTAATAACAATCAAAGTAAGCATAAAGTTCACACTCAGTGACTTAGAGGTCATCTTTCAGAGAGAGAACAACTCAACACACCCGTGCATTGTGCTAGAATCACTCTTTGTCTAATGAATTTGAACATAACAGAGGAGAGGATAATCCCACCAAGAACTCTGTATTCACAGTAAACTTACACTTACCAGTCTAATGAAAGTCCAAAAAAAATACCATATCATTTTATAAAAAAATCTATTAAATCTAATTAATTAATATAAATGTATCTTTATATCCAAAGTAAAGTTAAAATGATATGGTGATAGAGAATATTTTGTTGTTTCAATATTTATTTCTTTTATATATATTTAAAAATGTTTTTTTTTGTATTAAAGTTCTCTTGTTTATAGAGGGAGATTTTTCATAAAAACTATTAATATTATTTTCTATAATGTTTGTATTATAAGTGTATTGCAAATAAAGAAGAAAAATGAGCTTTTGTAAAAATTATAGGTCAAAAAGTGTTGGTGGCTTTTTATAATAAATATGGTAAGAAAAAAAAGTTGGTCTTTTTAAACATAAAAAAGAGTAAAAAAAGTAAAAAAAAAGTAAAAAGTAAAAAAATAGTCTATTTATTTAATTTATTTTGTTGATCTTTTACGTAAATGTAATCAATAATAATAATTAGCCACTCGGAATTTGAAACAGTCGCGTTATAATAATAACATAGACGCGTTTTATCACATAGGTCACATAGGTCAAATGATCAAAATGATCTACCATATTCATCGGAAAATGAGCAACCCGAAAATAAGCAACATGGGCGGAATTATGGCATTTGTGGCCCGCGTTACTAAATCTTGGCCTGCATCACGTGCAAAAGTTGTTGCTTATTTTTGGATGAATACGGTATTTGATCTATTTATCTAACAGCGATCGATTTATTTTTTTTCATTTAATGATTCTTTTAAATATTTACATTTTGTTTAATATTGGTAGTCATCTGTTAATAGATTAGACATTTCGTGGTACACTGCTCGATATATGTCGATAATTTATTTATTTTATAGTTGTGAGATAAAGTCGATATAGTCTGGATTATCCTATATAAAAAATAAACTTGAATTATTTAATAGGGATAGCTTGCTTACAACATAGTAATAACAGATGTAGAAAAACATTTAGGTAAAGATGGGAAAAAGATAAAATTATACATTTCTTCATTTTAATATTTTATAATCGCGCTTTTTGTTATTTTCAGAAAAACTGCGTGGAACTTTTATTTATTAAAAAAAA